CAGGGAGAGGGCAGCACTCAGTGTGGGTGGGACCCCGACTCCGCGACGTGGTGGGGGGTCCTCCCCCAGGGCCCCTGAGCCCACACTGATGCTGCTGCTCCTGCGATTTCCTATCGGACCTGCCACCTCTGACCCTGTCAGGGTTCCCGCACTTGGAAGCGTTCCCTGCAGAGGCACGAGGACACGGTGCCCCCGGGACCTGGCACAGGGCAGTTCCCTGTGAGTCAGGAAGGGCATCCTGGGCTCGGCCTGTCCAGCCCCCTGCCTCGGGGCAAGTCCAAGTTAACCCGACCCCGGCCAAGAGGCCAAGGGACATTTTGGCCTCTGTTACAACAAAAAAATGGTCCCCCAATGAGGACCCTCAGCGGCCACCAGGTATTCATGTGCCCTGGACTGCGGAGGCACGGGCGGGGAGTGTGCGCGTGTGTAACGTGTGGAGGGCAGGTGAGCGTGAGCATGCCCGCACGTGTGCCAGCGCAGGGCCCTGAGTTCTGGGTCTGGCCCACACGCAGGCCTGGCGGGTTCTCCTCGCTCTGGGTCACTGGGATTTGCCCTGGGAACCTGAGGAGGATGGTTTTGGCCCTGCCCCAGGTTTGCCAAGCACGTCATCTGTGCCTGTCCCCAGCTTTTCCTTCGGAAGCTGCAGAACCCTGGAGAGGAGGTGGCGCTCGCTGCTCTGTGCAGGCTCAGAGAGGCCGAGCGACTTGCCCAAGGCCAAACAGCGGCAGGGAGCGACCAGCCTGGTCAGCTTCCCCCTGGCCCTGTTCTGGCGCCAGGCTATGCCAGGTCCTTAATGACAGACCGGCAGAACTCGGCAGGGCGCCCAGGGCATCCCCGAGCTGCCTGTCACCGGCCCAGGAGCCAGCCTAGCCCCAGCTCCGCATGCGTCGGTGGCTGGACTGTCCTACTGGCATCTAGCAGCCTGGCTGAGCCGTCTCGCCCTGCAGGAAAGGAGGGTTTGAGCGCTGTGCACGTCTGGGGGCCGGTGGCCGTCCCTCAGGGATGACCGCCACAGCTGCTGCAGCACACCCACGCGCCCATCACACACCCGCATTGCTGACGCGGGTCTGCGCAGTCCATGGCTTTCTCCCAGGTTTGGCCTTGCACCCCCTCTGTGTGACGCCCCCTGACAGCCGCTGGCAGTCTCATGCCGATGTTTCAGAGCCAGGAGGGAATATTTTTATGGTAAAAAATGAACCTCATTGCATCAGCTCCAGGAGGGATGGGAGCCGTCATTGCAGGTCGCCCAGCAGGCGGATGAAAATTCTGCTTATGAAGTCGCAGCGTCCCCATTAATTAGGGGGGAGGGGGCGCTCGTGCACCACACACCTCGCCGCCGCCAAAAGCTTGTCAACGTTCCCCACGAAGAATGAAAATGTAAATAACTTTCAGATTATTCAATGTCACCGAGGTACCGAAAAGGTCGCAATGCTGGGTGCCATTTATCTCGTTGCGGATTTAAAGAGCTTTTTTTCTATTAAATTTCTTAAAATTAATGTTTTATGTTGCTCAGAGTAATTTGAACAATTATGGGCTTAAAAGAATTGATCGTTACAGCCCCTGGGATTCAGCCTCGGGCTGAATCCTTTGAAAACCTACTGATTTATCGCGTTGCCGCTTGATCAGTCAGGACCCGGGGTTTAGACCCCGACCCCCTCCTGTCCGGCCTGGGGGCCACTCCCCAAGATAAACCAGCGGTTCTGCGGTCAGCTCGTGAGAAAGGAGATGCCGGGGCGTGTCCCCGGTCTCGGGAGAGAGGGGGTGTCCCCGATTTGGGAGGGTCCTTTGAGTCTTCACCGTGTGAGAATTTTATATTCAAGAAGAAAGAAGTCCTTTTTATGTATTTGTCGAAATTACTTGTATTATTCAGGTACTTACGTTTGATAATGTAATACAATCGCCGGGTTGAAAAGTTAACAAGCCCTAACCCCACTCAAACATAAAGAGAGGAGAAGAAGCCCAGGGGGGCCCGCGTACCCGCCAGGGCGCCCCCGCCCCGGAG